GGGGTGATGGGTTGCAGGACTTATGATGGTCTCATGCAAGTTTTCTGCAGGTTATACACTGGTGTCATGATGGTTTTATGCGGTTTTGGGTTTCCGGAACCCCCCCCCTGCCCGCCCAGCCATCATGTGAAAGCCAAGCCAGTGCTGATGCTCCTGATTGAGAGAGATGTAGGAAAAATTTATGTTATTCCTACCTGGGATGTTTTTTAGGTTTGGAAGGTCCTGTTCTCTCTAGTTTTACTGAAAACAGCCCAAGATGAGGTCCCAGTTGTCCTGATGATGCCGCGCACGCGCGCACGCGCCTCGTACAGAAGCATCATCAACAGAATTAGGAACGCATTCTGGCCTAATTGGGCCTAGGAGGGCCACAGGCCCAAGAAAAGCCATCAAAGTACGAGGGCGGCAGGGCCGGCCCCTGCCGCTAGGCCGAAAATACAATCCTTCTGTTATTCCCCATAGTCTTCTAGGCTATGGGATCTAATTTTTAGATCCCTTTGGGGGTCCGGGTTGTAGCTCATCTTTGCAAACGCTCGACAGCGTGCCTAGCGCTCGACAGTGTTCCCAAGCTTGCAAGGAAATTGCAACCGCTCGCAATCATCCGTGGGTGTCGCAAAGCTCTTGCATTTCGTAAATCCAGCATTTTGGCGTCGTTCCGCCTTAAAAGTGTCCCAAGTAACAGGGATGGGGCGTCGGAGTCACGATGTCCTCTCGGAACCTTTTCAGGACCTCTTCTCAAGACCAACTCTCATGACGACCTCCTTCCGAACAACCATGAGAATATCTGAAATGAAGACAGGAGAAAACATGCCCCTCTCTGCCTTTGCGCTCGCTCCTTTCAGGCTTTTGTGCTGCCACTGCTCGCCGCAGGCTTCCCCTTCACTCACATTGGCTGAGTTTATGTTCCTCGCGTGCTCGCGTACCTCTTTTGATCACCATTGGCGCAGGTACCATTCCAAATGTATACTTGCAAGTGACACCGTGATCAGGAAGTCTTTGCTCCTACCTGTGTTTCCCCTAACAAGAACGACCACCTAAGTATGGTGTCCCGCCCATCCCAGTGACCGTTTGTTGGCACTTGTGAGCGGTCAAGTTTGGCTTGTGGGCGAGCTAGCATTCGCAGGCGATGGGTTCGGGAGCTCGGAGTGCAAAGATACTGAAGAATCAACAGGTCCTGCAGAGACTACGGGGAGGAGATGCATTCCACCACAGATATGTTAAAAAGCTCTGGCCATGGTCTGTATTTGCCGAGTCCGGCCCCGATGCCCAACGATCACGACTTTTCACCAGCTGCTGTCTAGGCTGCAGGTATATTCGCCGGATGCTCAAGAAAACCTCCTTTCCCATATGCTGGGCTCAGAGCTTATGTCGGAGGCACTCCTGGAGTGACTTGTGCATTCCATCGCCTGCTTCAGGTTGCCCGGAATCTGTCTGGCAGAGCCCTTTGAGATGGGCCTGGCCACAAGGGACACGCTGTCCATCGGAGCCACAGGCGCCTCCAGCAAGCGGGAAGCACAACTCAAAAGAAAAGCTGGCGTGCTACGGCCTCCTGCAGACCAGATGGCTGTGCTTGCTGTGCTGCAGTTGCTGCTCATGCCATGCTGTCCTTGGTCTATTGCGTGCATCATTCCTGAATTCTCCGCAAGGCACCGCATTCAGGCTGCAGCTTTCAACTGGCGTTTCAGACCCAGCGTGCTGGGGCGAAAGACCCTGAGCCAGGCTTCAACATGCCTCAACCATGGCATCGTGATTTGGAAACCACATAAAGGCCTGCAAGCTTGTCCATGGTGCTGATTCCACCTGACACAGAACTCTATATGAAATACTCAACTCGTTCTGGGCACCTCGCCTCCAACAGGAGCCTTGAAGTCTCTAACTGAAGGAATGGAATGGAGC